ACATCCATTGGGACCTTCCAGATGGCGGAGGTACGCTACTGCGTCGATAAAGCCACCTGCCCACTCGAAGCCGTACTCCGCAGAATCCTGGTTCGTTGTCTGCTCTCGCATTCAAAAGCAGCGATATATCTCTGCAGCGTGTCGTGTGTGCAGGCGGCCCCCACACCTTTGCGCAATGTTGCTACCTCTAGTGGGACCGTGCTTGCTGACCATCCATCGGGCAAGCCCAGTGTCGACTTCGTTTATCGTGCGCGTTGCGTCCCCACCTCCACGTTTTCACAATTTGGCGACCACATACACTTGAACATGATCATCTGGGGCTATCACAACGAGGCCCGCGACAGCGGCACCACCAAGTGCACCCCATGAACGGACGGATGACGTAGGGGACTGGGGTCGCGGTTGTCGGGGCCAAGGTGCAGTGGACGTACTGGCAATGGTCTTTGCCGCTGGTGAGGTCGGCGACACCGACTCAGTAGCCACCGTCGTCGTCATCAACGGTATTCACACTCGTGCTCACGTGGTGGGCAGTTTTCAAGTGCTTTTCGTGACAACATGATCGAAACGAGGTCGCGAGACTTTTTGCCACAGAGTCGCAACTCGAGTGGGTACATATGCATCAGCCTTGCGTCAAGCGGCGTCGCCATATCACAATTTCAATCGCGGGTTCGGATCGACTACTTCGTGATGCTCAGCGCGAAACGTGTCGAAGGATCGCTTCCTCGATCCCATGCGGGAGCCCTTCAGTTCCTCGGTCGACACCACACACTGGCGGTGAAATTGACGCTGTTGGCGCCAAGTAGCACGAGCCACCCGACCTGAGCGTACCCAGCGCACGTGGTACTGCAAAACGTATCGACCATCGAGGAATGCCAACGTGGAGTACGTGGCACGAGGGAAGAGGCAACTACATGGACCGGGTCCATTCAAATGCATCCAGGGTGTACTTGCAAGAGGCTGTGCTGTCGTATAGGATTGCTTGCCAGACACCTTGGCCCATGACGCGTTTTGGTGCCGCCAGTCGCTCAAGATACGGTCATTTGATACGCTAGAACGTTGCGCGCGCGATAGCATGCTGCCGTGTGGAGAAGATAGAATTCCCACGTTCGTCGAAACGAAGCGGGCAAGGACGCCGTTGACGCCGCCACTTTGAATCGGGCATGCCAAGCCACGTACGTGGCATCGTACTGCTCGCTGCAGTTTGTCACGTCGCCAACGATCCATCCTACTTCGGTCATGGCAGTCCGGACCTGTCTTGCTCCTTGGTCAAAAGTCGTGCTGCCATGGTGTGGTGGGGACGTACCGCGGCATACGACAGCGCTTGCAATGGGGGCTTCGGACGCGCCACCATGTATTTGTTCGTCCACGCGTACGTATTCGCCCGCGTCGGCGTCGCCGTGAATTCGACGACCATGCGACCGCAGCGAACCTTGGACTTCAAGACGCCAAGGACCCTTGCCAAATCCACCGGCGACATCTCCAACAGTCTCGACGCTGTAATCGCATCAAAACGAGTCGGAAGCGCCTGCACAACGTCCGCTAGCTAACGGGGCACCGTCAGCCACTCCTTCTTTACGAGTCACGGTCAAAAGGAAAGGGCACTTGCTGCAAAATACATGGATGGATGTGGCTCAGCGTACACTTTGCACATCATCGACCAGAATAAACTGAACGCGCGACCCAATGTTGTGTTGCTGCGCAAGGTGCATCGCAGCGACCTGCTCGTGCCTGGACAAGACGATCGAAATCACGTCGACTTGGAATTGCGCTGCGAAGTAGCACCCAACGCCGCCGCCAGAGCCGAGGTTGAGGTCGAGGACCAAGTGGCCATGAGCCTGTGCAGTCGTTCGTCGTCAAGAAGCAGCGACGATGCGTCAGTGTATACCAGGGCTAACTTTTGTGCAATCGTTTGCATGGCTCGTTCTTGTGCTGTCTACATCCCATCGTGTTCAGTATTGGATGTAGCACAAGATGCCCATACGTCGAGAGCATTGTCAGTGGCGGACGTAGCGGCGGCAGCGTGGTCGGCCCACAAACCACACCCAATATACGTGTAAGCGCCTAGAAACGTTGCGCGAAATGCTGGGTCGTTGTCGCACGGGCCTTCTTTCACCTGGGCCACGTCAACGATGAGAGATTGTTTTGCCTGATGAGACGATGCGCACTCGATCGATTACGTGGCACGCGGCGGACGACGGATACTGGCATACTCGCGTCGCCAATGACACCCATCGTGCAGGCCACGACTGATACATCTCTCTACGTGGCAAGCAACCGCGGTTGTTGTGAAAGCGCATGAACGAGCGAAGAGAGCCCTACCGACGCGCCTCCACTGGAAGCGTCAGGAGTCGAAAAATCAATGTGTCCAACTGGACGGGCGAAGACGCCGTGCTGCTTGGGTGCAGGCTCCACTGGCCAGATACGTACGACTCCCCGATGGCAACAAGACCATCGCTCATCCAGTCGAGCCAAAAGTTGCCGTCGTGAACAAGAATATGCTAATCAGCACCAACGTGACGTACGTGTGCATCAGAGAAGTGCTTACAATTGGGGCAAGGGCGGTCGTGATGGCCAGGGCTTCCGAAGGAGGATCGCCAGCGAGGATGGCGGCATGAGCGTGAATACCCCCCTGTGCCAGGAGGCGACGCATGATGTCGGCGGCGGCACCGCGGACTTTTGGCAACAGAATCGACCGCAGAAGTTGGAGCCCCACGACACCACCACCGACGAACAATGTGCTGCCATATAGGAGCGCGGGTTGCTGCAGCGCCAATTCAGGTAATACCCACATGAACTTGTCGTAGATTGGCTAGATGGATTCACCTGGACAGCGACATGGCAAAAGAGAGGGAGCGAGCCGTGCACGAGGATGTCCAAGGCAAAGGCTGCATCCCAGAAACGCGGCGACCGACGTGGCAAAAACTGGTAAAAGGCAAACCTAATGCGTAGAGCGATAGATGAGGGCGACAAACGGTGGCGCACAGACGTTCGCACCGATGAAATGGCAACGTAGGCAACCGCCGCAGGCGGTGCATCGCGACCGCCACAAGCATACCCACGGGACTCATCCACAGCTTGATTCGTCCCAGATGGGAGCTCAGCATGACGACGGGAATCAAAACGTGAATTATTGCGTCAACGATGCGCGATACGACTCCCAACAGCGCTGAAGACGACCACATACCCCACTCCGCGTGGACCAATGCCGTAAACGCATGGCGGTCGTACGTCCGCAGACTGTACCATGTGATCATGAATGCGATGCTGCTTGAGGTGAGAAAGCCCAAAGCTGCGTCGCCGCCACGTACACTGCACACGACCGCCGCGACGACCCAGATCGCGTCGGTGGCATAGCTGCATGCGAACATGATGTGTCGATGGGGATATCCGGATAACACACATTATGTATCCGGATTCTTCGTGAGAAGGGTGCAGCAGCGCCGCCACAACGTTCCCTCGTACATTAAAGGTGGCCACGAGCAGGATATGCTGGACATGGATGCTTCATCAAGGCTGAGTTCGAGCCGTGTGCATGGACCCGTGTTTCGCAGCCGGTACTTTTCTGCCTACCAGATAGACTTGGCCCGACAGACCAATTTGAACCATCCAGCGTCCATACGCAGAGACTTAAGCCACGTCCCCAACGGCGCCATCGTGAGCGAACGAAGCCACATGGTTTCCATTAGGCACCTTTGTCGCTGGGGACCATTCCAGTTTTTGATTATTGAAATGTAGTGACCAACTGAATGATTGCCAACGGTGTTCTGCCCGTTGAAAGTCTCTCGACCGCGGCAGTGCAAATTTGATCAAGCCCATGGCACCACGCGATTCAAAGCATCGGTTCATGGCGCCCAGCAGCCACGACAGACATGCTCACGAAGCTGTGTCAACCAGGACACTCCACGTGCCGCTGTCACCCACTGGCCCTCCGCTCATGGCGCTGCTTGTGCATTTGCCCGGACGGGTTTTTGTACGAGGGCCATACAGTCTTAACCCTCGCAATGCAATCAGCGGTGACAAGGGCGAAGGGGTAGCCATTCGGTTGACTGGAACGTTCCAACTGATGGACGGCATCGACGTGACAACGGAGGCATGGCGCGCAGGCGGCCTTGCTCTTCGAATGTGCATGAACTTGTCGGCTACCGATCCTGGCCATGCTGCAAGGCTGCTGTTTCGTCGTCGCAGTAGCCGTGAGGGTCGCCATCTTCACAGGGATTCGACACGAGAAGATGGCACAGATGTAGGCCACAAAGGCGACGATACCAGTGGCATGGGCGTGGGGTCGTTGCTAGTCGACATTGCCGTCCCTAGCCCACTGAGGTACGAGACTGTGTGCTTCAACTTGGCCGAGAGAGGTCGGTATAGGTATGTGGCGTCGAGCGCCGAAACGGTGGTCGACCAGACTGCGTTAACGACGAACGATGCGAGGCACGTGGGACTTGTAGCGCTCAACAATTCGCTCTTTGTGGCGATCACACGGCCCAACTGGACGGTGGACACGATGTCGTTGTCGAGTTTTGGCCATGGCGTCGTGCAGGTGGACGCTCCGTCGATCGAGTCAACCACTGCGATCGAGTTGAAAGCGTCGGGGCCAAATGCTGTGGTGGCCGTGGCGGCCACACAAATCGGAGCCAACGTGGTGGAGTATGCCTTGCGCCCAGCGCTGCTGCAAGAACTCAGGGACTGGGGATGTAGGGTGACGAGCAATGGAGCGGGCTCGGTGTACTTGACCAGCCGCAACTTGACTGTACGAGCACTGAAGAGCACGATGGCGGGGCAGGGCGTGATCAGCTACATGGACAATGGTAGGAGATGGCTGCAACTACTTGAATGGACGTTGATGGGGCTAGGAACTTGCGTCCATCATGCTGTGTCGATGCTCTCGAGTGGCGAGGTGTATGCGGGCTCGTTGTACTGCAATGAAACCACGGTGTATTCTGTTGGGTCGGGCCATGTCGTGGTGGACGGTGGCCGCTCTCTCACGTCGACCACAGTGGGAACGGGACGCCTGTCGTATGTACGAACACTGCCAGATGTGGTGGCGCATGTTGGCTTTGCCCCGCGGCACGGCGTCCACCAGTACCGAGCCGGCGACGACGTCGGTCCGTTGCGATGGAAGTTGCTGCCCATTCCTCGACATGAGGCCAAGCCCGTGGAGATGGCCGTCCCGTCGTCGGTGTGTGTGTAGAGCAATATTCACATGTTGGTTGACTGGCAATGTGTCGGTAGGCCCTCAACATGCGTGCGCTGCCCACGTTGCTGACCTTGGCCATGGACGTGGAAGCACTCGTGGGGATTGCGCTCGTTGTAGCTGTGCCGATGGTACTGCCGTCCGATTGAAATGGTGTATTCACTGTAGACTCCGTTGTAGGTTCTGTGGACATATTTGCGTCGCCGTTTGTACTGGCGCCTTGCATAGGCCGCCATGTGCCATTTTCTAACTCTCACGACAAGATGTCGTTGCAGGTCTCTCCATCTAATACTAAACATGGTTTGGCCTGACGGTGCTCTTTTCATCGAGTGGTGTTCATAAGTCTGGCAAGCTCGCGGACAGCTGAATCAAGCGGATTGTCGCTGTCAGTGGCACACTGTCGGTCGGTCGTTGACTGTGGCGGTGGACACTGGGCAAGATGGGCCACGCAGACGGCGCGCCATGTCGTGCGCCAAGCAGATCATGCCACGTCTGGATCATGCCTTGGACTTCCCCTTTGAGCCCAGCGACGGACTCGACATGGTCGGCCATGTCAAGGGCTTGCAGAGCGTTCGAGATAATGCATCGACAAGGCTACGCATCATTTGAAACACGAGATCAGGTGCTGCGAAGGGTGAGCTACCTCTGGCAACTCCAAGATGCCATGAACATGCACATGCATGGTCACAAGGCGCATGACGACGAGCTAGAGAAAGCAATACGATGGTGGCGTGTCCTGTCGGTGTAGGCATAACCTACTTGCAGCGCAGGGATCGCCACCATGTGCTCAAATTGTGGCGACGTAATGAAGCCAAGCAAGTGATCGATCGAGAGGGGGCTGATCTTCGTCAGTTTGTACGCCGCTTCCAGCGCAACGAACTAGCCCGGTGTCATCATGCGCCGGTTGTCCGCAAGTTGTTCGGTACGTACGCCCAGATTGGTCTCGAAGGTGCGATTAGCGAGGGTGAGTAGGAGCGGCATGACATCCGCACACTACTTCACACGTCATATTTGAGGACGGGAGCATCTGTACACTGTCGTGCGAAGCAGGCAAGGGTTGTTCGAGGGGCTCGGCAGCTTCACCATCTTGTGCCTAAAAGCATACTTGAAGCTGAGCCCTGCCGCCACAACGGCGACGAACCAGCCATTTAGTTAAAACGTGGTGAAGCAGCCAGCAGTATTGCTTGGCTGCATCGACCGATATGCGCTTCAGCATAGCCACAAGGACCACGACCGCTCTCTATGCCGCGATACGCGCGAGTGAACCTCATCGACTTGATGTTTTCGTCACCGAAGAAGATCGCAACGCGTGGAGCCCTCTGGGAAATTATTGGAACAAGTTGAAACATGGGGTTTTCGCATGAATGCGACGTAGTTGTCTCACCGGCTCGAAAATGTCAGCTTCCACAAGATGTGCCCGCCGTTGAGCTACGGGATGGGGTCGGATCGACGGGCGGGCGACGTGCACGCACCAGAATTTGAGCATGCGTTGGGAGGCCCTCCATGACGTCGCAGATGGTGTCGATGCCACGCATGTCGAGAAATACAGGGACGCTTCAATGGACAGCGTCAGTCGAAAGGCATCGAGTCTTGCGGTGCTGGTCGTACTTTCGAGTTTCCTTGAGCAAGTGGAAGAGAGCTGTGGTAGCGTCGACTTGAATGGGCACGGAGACGGGTCGGTGCTGAAGGGCTGACAGAAGCATGGGGACCAAGCAGTTGGGGTGGTTGGAGCTGTTGTTAGTCTAGCCGACCAAATTGCACCCACGTCGACCGAATCGAGGAGGGTACCGCCATGAAACAACTCGTCGCATCCAACGACGCTTCAGCATCTCCAGATGATTTGTCTGGCGGCGCCATGGAGTAGTGCAAGTGGCTGGTCAGAAGGGTTTCGAGCTTGCTTTCGTATTGTTTGCATTGGGTTTTCAACTAGAAACTGGATGAGGCGATCCATTTTCACCACGGCCATCTTGACGGCACCTGTGCGATATGATCGAGGGCAACGGACAGCTCAGAGTTGAGTCTGGCATTGGTCTTGAGTAGCACGAGGTGTTCTTCGCTCTCTGCGTTCTCGGCCGCGGCGCGGTCGTTGGCCAAGTTTTGAATATATGCTTCGTATCTACAAGAGAGCAAACACAGTGTTTGGAAGAGCCTTCACGGAGGGCTTGTGTATACCGCCGCACATCGCTCTTGAGATCGTCGATGACGAGGTCGTGGTCTCGAAGTTGCTTGGTGAAGGATGCTTTCTCGGCAGCCGCGACTTGTTGTGTCGCTTTGAGTTGGTCCGTCAGTTCATGGATTTGGACGTCGAGCATCCTATCCGTGTGCCGGTCAGCACGATCCCTTCGGCTCTGTCTTGAGTGGAAATTTTGTACGCTTTTTGAAGGAATTGGATTTCCGTGTCGTTCAGCTGTGTCATGCTGGCACACATCTGCGCCAGCCCTGGTAACATAGCACATGCCTTTCTGGTCACACAGGAACGGGCACCGCCATGGTTCTCGTGGAGTACCTTTGGGCGGGACCCCTTTCAACCTGTTCGCCAACGATTCCTTTGTCGATTGCCTCTGTTTTTTCGACGGTGCCATCCCTTTCGATGCGGGGAACTTGATGCTGGCGTTACGAAAATCGGTTACGATGGACATTTGAAATGTGTGATTCCCCCGCCGTCGCAATATGTGGTGCCATGGAGAAAGCCGATGCCACATCACATACCAATTTTCTACGAATGGGTAGCAATGAGCTTTGTAAGGGCGCTGTGTAAGAGGCACTGGTACCTTCGCACGACTCGCTCCTGCAGCTGCACCTTGTTGACCTTTGCCACCTAGCTTCATAAAGCACGTGCCACGTGCGTTTGTTACCTTACAGTCGAAAACAGGAGCAAAAAATTGTCCAGTCAGGCACACTCTGCTCCACTCGACAACGAAAAGTGCATGACATTCAATGGCGCGGATGTCTACAGGATGCGACGACTTCTCAACCGCTCGTCAGATGGGAATGCTGCTGCAGCTGCTGCTTGTCCCTGGTATTTGTCTTTTGATTGTCAACTTGGCGCTCCAGCCACATTGCGACTTCATAATGCTCGGTATCTGCAGCTGTCTGAATAGCTGACACTACGTCAATGCATGCTATCGTGGCGTAAAGGTACTTTACAATGTTCAAATGTCCTGACCGAGCGGCTGCGGTCATGGCCTGGCACGCACACCGAATCATGGCAGAGCCTTGGATGGTCAGAATGCAGTCTTGCCCGTGGCCATATCTATCTGCACCAGACAGGGACGCCCACGTGTTGTTGTCGACAGAGCATATCCACTTGACAAGATCTAGTCGTCCGTCATCTGCAGCCGCCGTCAGGGTGGCCGTGGTGATGAGCACGTCTTGCTGGTACAAGAGCTGCACGTGACCAGCTTTGAGGATCGCGTAGGCGTCGGTCCAGTCCTTGGCTGGCTTTCCGTCCATAAAGCTCGCAATATCGAGAAACACGGTGCCAAAGATCACGTCCAACCACGCAGGATCCATGAGGAGTGCCGTGTGGGCGTTTCGTCGGGCGGTTGTGGCGACGATTCGGCATTCAAAACAAGGTGAAAGGCGGTGGCACACTTTTGCCAGATTCCCGATCGACGTGCCGCTTGTTCTGCGCTGCAGAGCAGTTGGGTCGCCCGATCGTTTGACCCACTGCAAACCACGGTAGCTGTCTAGTACCGTGGTGCTAGTAGCACTGTGGATGACCTAGTTGTGTAGCATTACTATTAGGATGCTAGTCAGTGGCCACGTGGCTCGTGGCCCCTCAGCCCTCTGAAGTAATACAGTCTTGGATTTGCCTTACGAAGGAGGCAACTTTGCGGTCGGAAGCCGTGAAGGACGAACACCGCTGCACGAGCTCATTCAACAAGTTCCCCAATGTAATGCGCGCATAGCAACACGACAGGAGACAAGGCAGCCATTGGAAGTAGTCCCTGCTCCGACAGCCCGTTGTCCCTGCCGACGTCACATGTTTCAGGTCATGACCTTTGCGGACTGAATCAACCACAGGACTCGTGAGGCTGGTTAGTCGGCCGCTGCGGCCACAACTTTAATGGGCGGCTGACGCTGACGAATGACATGGTTCATGTCGCGGGCATGACTATGGACGTCGCAACTACGTCGAAGGATCTGTTGGTCATATAGACCTCGACTTGTCGCGACTTCGACAATCCCACCGCATGAGAATCCGTCCTCCTTTACTCCACAGTGCGGTCGGTACCTCGACACATTGCGCGTGCCACATGGCGCGCTGACATTGCTGCGATTTGTGGCTGTCGCCGCGACGGCGGAAGTGTGGCGATCAGTTGTTGATTCCTCGGACCCTTCGTTCCGCCTCTGGACAAGGCTGCATAAGGTTCAGTAGGCTATGGCTCAGCGGGGGTTGTTCGGTTCCACGAGGACGCAGGCGAGATGATCGTCAAATCGAATTTTGGATGGCCCGTATGATACATGAGGTTTACATGAACGACATGCCGTCAGCGTTGCCTAGCGCACTCAGCGGGGGATGCACGTCTTGAACGGCACATGCATGCTAGCAATCAAACACTATACTCGAATCTATCTACGCGTCGGCCACCAGCGCACTCGTGTGGCGATCGCGACTGCCCATACAACGCACGCGCTGCGCCAACTCTACCATATCAACAAGATAAACTCTCAAAGGGCACCGTCGTGATCCGCAGCGTCACGCGGGTGTACAGCCTCGCCATCGTGGCAACGACCTCACGTGGCGCCACGCGTGTCCTCGAACCCAAGCGAACTATTGACGCCACAAGGATGCTGCCTGAGCCCGGCTTCCTCGTACGTCCTTGAACGATCGTAGTGGACGCAAGGAATCGTAACTACATCGGCTCGTCGCCCGTCCTACTCAGCGGGTTGCTCGCTGTGCGATGGAAGGGTGCGATATATTGTTTGGACATCAAAGTTGTTGCGGGAGGTTGTATTCCCAACCGATGTGACCAACGCAATGGTGCGTCCGCTGCATGCACAGGCAGAGCGACCGACTCTCAGAGTGACCGTGATTCGAACCGCGTCATCTCTCGTCGACCTGCTCTTTGAAGGACTGCGCACACCACGGAGGCTTTGCACCTTCATCACAACATCTTTGGATTGGTCCTTTCTCGAGCATCACCTTGCTGGAGTCCAAGTAATCGTGGCCTCTGGTATGTAGCTTTGGCAGCATGACCATCGAGGTCACCAGCCCCTAATGACCTGCTAGTTTGAAGCCAACATATTTTGGGTTAGAGTGACGATGCTGCTCTATTCTGACATGCCCAGACTAGAGCCACGGCGCCGTCATATGTGTTCACTGGCGGGGAACGCACTGGCTGTACCAGTTGTTCTTGATCTGGCACTCATCGGTCGGCTTGCATGTCGTCGCACCAGCGTAGCCTTGGCCTCCGCACTGGCCCCAGGTGGCGACACCATCAGAGCTGCGTTCGACGCATTGGCTGTACCACTCGTTCTTGGGCTCACACACATACCCGGCGGTGCATCGGGTTGGTCCGTTGAACTGCTTGCCACCGCATTGCTGCATCGGCTTCGCTTCGCGCAGCACAGGCAACGTTGGGGACGGTGTACGGGGCGTGTACACGCTGGGGGGCGAGTAGGAGGCGCTGGCCAGACTTGGGGGGGCCGCGCCAACCCCCCCTAACAACGGGACGCAGTTGATGTACACTTGCCACGACGACGTATGCATGGCCAACCACACGAACAACAACCGCTTCGCTCCTTTGCACGCCGCGACGTTGATGGGCATGGCACCGTTTGGGATGTTTCGAGCGCAGTTGTCGTTCGAGTACACGCGAGTCGCGTCGCACCAAACCTCACATGGCCCTTCGTGGGACGAGACGTACCCTTCGTTCCCGTGGCCCCACTTGACGATGCCGTCGAGGGGCATGGGCTGGGGGGTGCCGTCGTCTCGGGTGATGCCGCATTCGCCGCATGTGGTCGGTTGGGAGTGGACGAGGGCCTTTAGTGACGTGAACGACGACTTTTTAAACTGCCGGACAAACGCATTCGTGTTGTACTCGGGGGAATCGTCGTACTTTTCACCGGGAAGCGCCTTGTACCCGTCGATGGTACCACAATAGTTGGTCTTGTCAGGTACACCATCGCGAATTGTGGGCTTCGGGTCCACCAAGATCCCATGGCTGCGGGTCCACGGGGCTGCTGCAGCGAGAACGACAGCTATTGTTTGGCACGCGCGCATTCGAGCTAAACGAGTTGTGGTGCAGCGGAATTAGAGAAATCGTCCCCCGCATGCCGTCTACAGGACAGTGGGTAGAAGGCGTGTGTATATATGGGCACCCCCATCTCGCTTGGACGAGGCTCTATACCTTTCAAGCAGTGACTGGGAAAGTAGAGCTGGCTTGCCTTTCTCGGGGCGTGCGCAAATCTAATGGAGGCGCTTGCTTTCTTCAGACGCATCCCTTACGGTAGAAGCCTGCAGGGCGATCGTCTTTCAACCCAGTGTGGCCGCCACATATCGAATGCGATTCACAGTGCAAGTCCATCGCGTTGTGGTTTTCTGTGTCGTTGCCGGGTCGACGCTTGGCCACGGCGGCCTGGTGGATCCGCTGCCCACGTGGACCTCCCCCAACAGCGACATCAGTCAATTCTGCGGCACCATGGAGGGTCCGTCCGTGCTGCCTGGAGCACCCTACAATACCAGTCCACAAGACAACACGGCAGCGTTCACGCGGCATTTCCAGGCATCGTCATTCAAGACACTTCGAGACGTGATTGTGGCCTACCCCAGCACCTGTGGCACTTGCGGCATCACAGACCCCTTCGGAACCCCCCGCGAACTGAACGCGACTGGCGTCATCATGTGGGCTCATGGTTCCGAAGGCTTTGTCGCTTCCCATGAAGGGCCTTGTGAAGTCTGGTGCGACGCCACACGTGTCTTTTACAACGACAACTGCGCTCGCAACGTCGCAAGTGGCATCTTGAAGATCGATGTGGCCAAGTGCCAAGGGGCTAGACAGCTCGTGATGTATTGGCTAGCTCTGCATGTCCCGACGTGGCAGATTTATGTGAATTGCGTCACTCTCGGGGGGGCAGCCCCAACATCCCCCAGCCAAAACAAGCCTTCCGCGACGCCTGCCCCACCAGGTTACACAGTGCCTCCAACACCCCGATTTTCATCCTACGGCGAGCCTAGCTATGGACCAAGCCCCCCCTACGCATCGTCAACCCCAGAGTTACCCTCGACTGCTGCCAACAACACCATTCCTTTGGCTGTGCCGTCATCGGCGGCGAACAAGTCGGTGGCGGCATGGCATCAGTGTGGAGGTTTGCAGTACAAAGGCCCGACCCATTGCGTGCATGGTCACACGTGCCGCAAGGTGTCCGATTCGTACAGTCAGTGCGTCCCACGAGTCGTAGCTCTCGGCGAATTGAACACGTGGGCGCAATGTGGAGGCAAGACGTACACAGGCCCGACGACATGCACGTCATCGGACCAATGTACCGTGCAGAACGACTACTACAGCCAGTGCCTTCCCAAGTAGATGCCGACCTCTGGGGGCGGCGCTAGATCGTGATGGCCCGCCTGCATGAGAACGAGTGCTGTTTATCAACCCAATGCATACGTGTTTCAAAGCCTGTGCCTACATCACACGATTGAGCTGTCCACTCGATTGCAAACAGGACTCGGACAGCGAACAACGTGTTGCATTACGCTTTCGCGACCAAAGCGCATGCCCGCGACCGTTCATTCATTGACGCTACTCTCCGATGCTGACGACGCTTCGTGCTAGTTTCGTGGCTCTCCGGCTAGCTGAACAATCGAATTTCTGCGCCACGTAGCTGACACCGCTTATCGCTCTTGTCTCTCGCCCTCCTTGGTTGCTGCACACATGGCCTCGGTGTCGATCACGATGACCCTACTGCATTCGTTGCGTGTTCGATGGCAGTGTCGCCCTGCCGTGGGAGAACTGCAGCTCGAGCCACTCGACGACACGATCGCGTTCAACCGTACAGTTAACAAATCGTCGAGTCTATCGATGCCTTGGGGAAGTTGGGGTGTCGAGTTACGCGCGCGGACGACCTTCGTCAACCTTTTCCGTTGGATAGGAAGACCAAGTGGGGGCATGGCTCGGAAGGGTTCACGAACGCCCGCGTGGACTCTGGCGCGGCTCCACTCGCGACTTCCCAAACAACAACGGAGCTCGCAACATCCTGTGGACGCAAGTCCATGTTAGGGCGCCCCTCGTCATGCTGTTGCTCGGGTCGCACACCTCGCCATGGCCAGTGCCCAAGAACTGCGACCGGTTGACGTCCAGTGACCCCGCTCCGTCGACAAGCGCATCCCCTGCCATCAACCCTTACTCGTCGATGCAACCGGCCAAAATCCCTAGCCCCCCGTGGCGTCCACACTTCGACACCAACGGAGGCGCCGTCTGGGGCGCACGGCTAGCCTTGGCAAGAATGTGGGGGGGCATGACTTTCCAAGGCCCCACTAGATGCGTCGCACAGATATCTTGGGCGAATCAAACGGGAGCGCCATTCGCGGCGGTGACAAGCACGGGGGGGAATGCGGTGTCACCAATCTTGATGGATCAATGCATGAAGGCAGACGAATGCTTTGCGCACTGGCTGAGTACTTGTGTGCCCAACGTGCCTTTCAGTGTCGACACTTCCGTTTTGAGCGCGCTCCACCTTTGGTGTCTTTTTGAAAAAGCCGCCACAACGACTTGATCGAGTGCACGACATCCAAGACATCGTCGCCCAAGCACGCCTTCCCCCGCGCACTTCCCTCACGCTGTCGTCTACGCGCTCATCCCTCTCAGCTCGCCCATGCACAAAGTGGACTCCCCCGCGCACTTCAAATCATCGTGCAAATAACGCTGCTGGTTACTTCACATCACACCGTTTTGTTCACTCCGTGTTATTACTATATCGGTCCTACAACGCTTCGACAATGTTCATGAGGTCGCCGCCGTCGCCATCTTCGCCCGACGACCCACCGCCTTGGCCGGACGCGGTCGCGTCGCCCATGGCAAACGAGGACCCGTCCATGTCAAGAAAGTTCATGTCGTTTGATCCTTGACCGAGGCTCGACATCATGTCGTCGTTGCCGCCCATGCCGCCGCCGTACCCGTTGCCCATGAACCCCATCGAGTTCATGTTGGGTTGATTTGACCCGTAGTACATCGGGTTGTTGGCGTTCGAGTGGTGCATGGACGAGGGCCCGCCGCTTCCCATGTTGTACCCGCCGTCGTCGAGGATAAGACCCGTCGACGACTGCTGCATGTTTCCGCCGCTGGGCTGCTGCGGCGGCTTGGGGACCGGCGCCTGCATCATGCTCTGAAAGTGGTTTTGCTGCTGCTGCATGGATTGTTGGTTTTGTTGCATTGACGGCCCATGCTGCTGTTGCTGCGAAGTCGGCCCCCTTCCCGGTCGCATCCCCATCATGGCTTCGAAACCTCCCCCCATGTTGTTTGAATTCGGGTTGTTGGACGGCGCATTCGTTGGCACACCACCTTGCGGCGTATTGCTCCCACCCGACGATCTTCGGTCCTTCTCCGTCTTGAGCTTCTTCAAGTACGGAAGGACGATCCGAACGACGTATTTATTCACCTTCTCGAGCTCTTCCAGGGTCCGTGGCGGGTGCGTCGACGCATCTTCGTCCAGCACCGTCGCGCACAGCTGAACGTACCCCAGCAAGAACGACAGCTTTTGTTTCTGGTCGCTCTCGCTGTCTTGCTTCATGTGGTCCACGTACTTTTTGAACGCGCTGTGCACGGTGCTCACGTCATTTAAATATTTTGCCTTGAGCATGCCGTGCTACACAATTCAACCTTCATATCGGCAAGACGGACATGGGGGCGCACGGACCTGCCGCCAGTACTCTGCAGGGTTATTGCCAGCCTGGATGTTGACCAATGTTTCAGGCGACTGCTGGTGCTGTGGATGGGACGGTTGCGACGACGGACCCCCTTGTGGAGGCATCATCGCGCCAGTCGATTGCGAGCGGCTCATAGATTTGGCGGGGCCATTGTTCCCGCTGGTTGGAGGCTGCTGTTTGTTGTTGAGGTTGTTGGACCCTTTGCCCTGCTTCGGCGTCGCCGCCGACGAGTTTTGGCCAGACGTTTGCTGCGACTGGAATCCCGTCGGGTGACCTGGGTTGTGCTGAATTTGGCCGTTGCTTGGGTTGATCGAGAGGGGGTTGGGCGCGTTTGGGTTATTGTACATGTTGTACTGGCCAGAGGGGTTGTGTGGCTGTTGTGGGTGCTGCATGCCGCCGTTGGGAAGGTGGCCACCGGGCATGCCAGGATGCCGGCCGTTTTGGCTGCTCGGCATGTCGCCGCCTTGCGTCTTGAGCTGCTGGAGACGCTTGATAATCTGATTGATGTAGTCCTCCTACGAAGCACCGTGTCAGCGGCGATGTTCGAAGACGAAACGTACCCTCGTCTGGCATTCCTTGAACAACGTTAGCTCAAACCAGGCCACGTTGATCCAAAGCGCAATGCCGGGCGGCTCTGTGGATACGCGGACCATTTCGTGGTAGACTTTCGCGATGAGGCTGGCCCGTTGGTCTCGTGTAAACTGGGCGCGCCATTCGATGTGCGCGATGCTCTGGCCGCTCGCTGACATGTTGGAAGAAGGTGGCCCCATGGGGTTTCCGTAAGACAGACCGTTGTTCGTGGGTGGATACCCCGGCATTGAGTTGGAGGGATGCATGCCGCCAAGCATGCCATTTGGTGCGACGACGCCCATATTGGGCATACTGCCCATCGAGTTCATGGGATGGTTCATACCGCCGTGTTGCATTGGGTTCATCGTATTCATCATGTGGTGCTGGCCGCCGCCACCATGGGGAGGCTGGCCCAAGTGCTGGTTTTGATGCCCCATGTGCATCGGGTTATGGCCCATGCCGCCTCCCATGCCGGGATTGCCGGGACCACCACCAATGTTGTTGGGTGGGTTGCCGCCTTGGTTCATTCCCATCCCCATTCCCATCATCGAGTTCATGCTTGACATTCCGTGTTGGGACGGGTGTTGGCCGCCGCCGCCCATCCCTGGTTGGTTAGACATCATCCCAGACATGCCGGGATGATGGGACATGCCTGGGTTCATTCCTCCCATGTTCATGCCATTCATGTTGATGCCCATGCCGCCCATCGTGTTGAGATTCATGCCCGGATTCATCCTCGAAGGCCCTTGGACACGGCACCGGTGGAGGGTGAGGAATGCAAGAATGAAGAACTACTGCACCTCCTCGCGGCGTTCCACCAATCACAAGCCACGATATCGACTCTCTCGGGTCATTATCCGGAATGGTCATACAAAAACCAAGCTGATGGTAATCGTTATCCGGACATGTGTCCCAAACACGCAAAGTTCAAATTCTCTCAGTTTAAAAACATACCCTTGAGAACTAATTCGCATGACATTACAATTCGTTTTCAAGGGTATTGCGTCGTCATGCACTACAGGCGACCACCGTTCGAACCGCGCGCTTCACATTGTGGATGCAGCCGCCACCGCTTGAGCAACAGAAAGTAGTGCTCGCGGGTCCATTTCCACCGGACGCTGCCAAGTACTGTCTCGTGCGTTGGCTGCGTAGTACTTCAAACGGCAAAACGTGGATGGCGAATCATCCACGTGACATGCAGCTTCTCGGGAGGGTGGGGTCTCATGTGTGGGGGTGAAGATGTTCGAACAACATTTGTGTCGGGGAAGGAAGAGTACTTGGACTGAACCCTGATAAGGTGGTTCTCAGCATTTTGTCCACGATCTCCAATGTTGGAACCAGTGCTGTATCATCCTCTGAGTCTCTTCGACTCGGGGAATCGCACACAATTCGAAAACTCAAATCCATGTTGTTCGTCTTGGTTGTGGGTGTCGGGAGGTGTTGTCGGGATATGGGGTGTGTTGAAATTTATTAGAAATGTCACGGAATCATGCAATCTATTAATACCTTCTGGAACTTGTATACAAAACGCAGCATTCCTTTGAGATTTCAGAAAAATTTCGTGTGCCCATTGAATTCAATCCGGAACATTCGCGCACTTGATTCACGAATCAGTAAGCGTCGGACACCAGAATCGCCAGCATGGTGGCGGCAACTACCTCCCGTGCGAGCGTCCACGCCGTGGCGAAGGCGGGCTTTGTCAATGGCAGCTTGTACGAAAAAGCGCGGCCGGACTTTCCTCCAGAAGCACTTGCCCACTTGATCTCGCCGATGTTGTCGCGGACGAGCCGAGTGCTCGAGGTCGGAAGCGGGACGGGCAAGTTTACGTCGATTCTCGCTAAGCACTTTGACTCGCTGGTGGCTGTGGAGCCGTCGGAAAGCATGCGTGCTGAGTTCAAGACACGCCACCCGACGATTCCATGTGTGGACGGAACCGCCGAACACCTGCCGTTCGCTGCCGAGTCGCAAGACGCAATCTACCTCGCCCAGACCTTTCACTGGTGCGCCAACACTGCCGCCCTCGAGGACATGGCCCGTGTCCTCACTACAAAGGGATTCCTTGGACTCATTTGGAACCTCGAAGACGACAGGACGCCATGGGTGCGCAAGCTTCGCCAAATCTACGAGCGGTTCGATGGCGTTGCGCCGCAGTATCGCACGGGAAAATGGGAAGATGCGTTTCGCGACAACGCGTATTTCGAGTACCCGCTGCACCACGCTCGATATGAACGTTTGATCCCGGTGGAAACCAAAGAACACATTTGGCTCCGCGTCCTCTCCAAGTCGTATATTCATTCGCAACCCGACGACGTAATTCAACGCGTAAAGGCGGAAGTCGAGGCCATTCTAGACACGGCTGCCTTCCAACGCGATGAGCATGGCCGCATTCTGTACCCTTACGTGACGGACGTGTACTGGACATACAAAAAGTAGACTGTAACGACGACGAAGGAAGGCATCGTTGTTATCGTCGCGTCAGGTATATCGTATCCACGCCTTTGCATCGCGCAAATCGCTTTGCCCCCACGAGACGTATTTGAAGGGTACTTTGGTCTTCGACGTGGTAGTTCCAGACGAGGCCAGAAGCATCTTCAGGAATTGTGAGCAACCCGTTCTTCGCTGTGCAGTGGAATGTCACGCTTGGCAGCACATGAACATACGATCTCGGTCCACTCACGTCAAAGAGAACGCTTCCGTCCTCGGAAAAGTTGAGGTGAAGAACAGCTTTACCAGCCTTCACATCCTCGCTCCAGTCCAACGCCGTGTTACCAAACGCTTCCGTGCTCGTCCATGCGCCGACGATGTCTGGGTCCATTTCCGATCGAAGAAGATCTGGAATGCAGGCAATTTTGGTGATTTTTCGAAAACGGTGAAAATTGCATGTCGAAAGTTTCCAAAATATTTACCAGTTTCCCATGACGTGTAGGGATATTTTCTTAAAATATTGCGAATTTTCATTCAGAGCGTTGGGCGATGATTGACGACGAAGGAGCAGCCGACACATATTGGCAGCGAGTACGTGCGTGTGGTCCTCACCTTGGCGAACTGAGCTGGTGCTGCTGGCTGTAGCACGCGTACTTGAAGGATGCGCACAGCCAAGCCGCACACTTTGTGCGGCATTCGTTCCAGAAAGCCCTCCGACGATGGACCAAGTCGCAGCGAGAACGACAGAAGCTTGAATCCTTATTGCAGTATGTTGGAGCGACTTCATATCGAAGGGTGCAACGACTTCTGTATATGCATAGGTATGTGGATTATTGCACGGATGTCCTCGATGAGTCGAGAGAGGCCGCCGGGACTGCTTCGCGATCTTGTCAAGACCTTGACCGCGTTGAAAAGTACGTGGCCAAGATCATCGCCCCTTATGTGTCGAAGCACGTCCGTGAGCACATTGATTTCGTTCCTCCTTTGGTTTCCCCCGATCCGAACCCAATGTTGGCGCGATCGACGTCGTCCATCTCGGTGCATTCCGATGACATGCCGTCCATCATCGACAGCGACATCTCGTCATCGGCCGGGATCCCCATTTACAATGCGCTATCGATGCCGCACCCGATTGTACTCGATGGTGACCACGAGGTCGAATTTCTTTCATCGGGCCTTGCAACCTCTGCCCCGATCCAGTTGCTAAGTAACGGCGTGCGCACCGAGCAACGCGCGCCACCACTTGCTGCCGCTATAGTCGACAGTGTCGAGACGTACTGGAACGAGGTATTTACCCCCGAGTAGCACTCGATTCCCGTCGGCAACTTCTCATTCGATATCTAGCACGACCGCTTGAGAGCTGCGCATTACTCGTCGCTTCAAGCCGTCCAACAAAAGTTTGAACAGTTCAGCCAACAGACTCCTCACTTGACGGCTTGGCAAGGTGTCAAAGTCGAGTACATGCTGCGGCATATCAAGAACTGCGTGGATTTTTTGGATGAAGCCAAGGAAACGCACCCCGTTCGACCACGCCACGAAGTTGATTTGGTGCTGGCGTCGATGAATCAGCTCATTTTACCCTACTTGGACGCGCCGACTCCGGAGAGTGAGTTCGCGGTGGAGGTAGCGTTTGGCTTGAATCCAAAGTGGAAACATCGCGGTCACGCGTGCGCTTGTAGCACGCAGCTCTCAAGGAAGCGTACTTGCATGACTTGGAGGCCACAAATGAAGCATTCAAGCTGTACATTCAAAGCAACAACGCGTGGGCCGCACAGATTCGAGCGATTCAACCGCATGTGCAGTGGGCATGCCAAGTGCTGACCGATAGCCATGCCACCTCGACGTACACGCTGACGGATTTACAAGCTGTGCACGACTGCGTGGGGCGGTACGTGGTGCCGTACAAGATCAAGATCGATCGAGCGGCGGCAGCCTTGGGGACACGACCGTTTGTCCTCGACAACTGACGCAAACGTGCGGAGGAGATTGCACTCATGTGAACGATTCGCCACAATTGAAGCGATGGAATGCATTCGAATCTGAAGCACGTTGTGGCAGTCCCAGGTAGCTGGAGAATCGATGATACGGGCGAGAGTGCGGCGTCTCCACAATGTGGATGGCACTTTTTCGATGGCACTTGTTCGAGTGCCTCCACGCCCCCGTGCGTCATGTCGTGGTGGTGGTGCGCCAGTGCTCCGAATCCCCCGGTCAAAGTTCTGATGGATGTCTCAAATCGACTGGACCAAGGCCAAGCAGGAGGTTGAAAGTCGACCCTTTTGACCTTGTCATCGTGCCCGCTAGTCACGGGCAGCGACTCCTATGCCCCAGGGCACAAAGCAACACCAAGATCGCGGATACGTCGTGATGGCGTATGCACCAAGCGTGCCGTGGCAATTGCTGCCATCGCGGTGGCTCGACTTCGCCACGGCCGGATCGTCAGGGGCGCGTTACCTGGTGAGTTTCTATCGCATGACCCCGTCAGTGTCGGTCGGTCGCCTCCTCGTCGTGCTGCGATGACTCGCGTTGGTATCTATGCCACGTCCGACGGAAATCGTGCTGGCGCGCCGCAGCAAGATTCATGGACCCAACGTCCGTCGTCCTGAATCGCTTCGTCTTGGTGCAATGGAAGCTCCACATCCACGTCATTGCCATTGAGCTATGGCGAAAGATACACTCCAGGGTGCCGTCGATGCCCCCCCATCTCAAAACGACATTGCGATGGCCGACATACGACGACACTAGTGGCCATTCCATGGACCAACAAATTCAATCGTGAAGGATCAGTGAGGAATCCGAGGTGGTGGGAAAGAATGACACCCCTGAAAAGGCCAAGCGAGCGGGAACCGTTGCGTCCCGCCCTTGGAGCGTTCGAGACAGACAACTCCGTTGCCAGCTTCGCTTGTTCTTCCACAGCGCTCCTGACCTCGTTCGGAGCTGCTGCCAGCTCTGTGCGCGACTTCTCAACTAAATTGGCTTCAGTCGCAACCACGTGTCGACCGCTTGACCTCGTGCTGCTCGCCAAGAATTTGAGTGCATGACTGGATGGCTGTTGTTTAGAGTGGATCGGCACGCCGGCCCTGTCGCTGGACTGCTGCTTTGTCCACATGCCACTCTAAGTTTAGCCATGCCATCATGGCCGCTTTGAAGGCACAGCAGCTTGTCTCGTCTACTCCCGACGGTGGCAAGTTCAACTCGAGCCAAGTCGTTTGCGATTCATACATATTTACCTACAGAGAATCCAACCATCTAAGCGGACTAGGATGGCACACACTGGCTGAACCATGGGCTCAAAGCCTTGCACGTGTCGCCATCTTTGCACTTGCCAACGCCATTCCAGCCGCGACCGCCGCACTGCTCGTACGTTTTGAGGTCGCCTGGACCCGCGACGTTCGGGATGCACTGGTGGAACCATTCCGTCACCACCTGACAATGATACCCGTGGACGCATTCGTTTGCGCCGGTGAAGCCGTTGCCACCGCACTGCTGCCACCCGCCCGCATACTGGCTGGGGCTCGTGGCGGGAGTAGGTGTGGTGGGTTTCAACGGCGCGGGCGTCGATGGAGTTGGGGTCGCCGTGGTAGGTGCAGGGGCAGGCGTCATGGGCTTCTTGGTCGGCAACGGAAGCGGGACGGGAGTGGTTGTGTTGGAGCTGGGCGGCGTGGGCGTCACAGCAGTGGCAGTGGGCGACGGGGGACTGGGACCGACGCCGTCTTGCAATGCGACGCAGTTCTTGTACACCTGCCAATCGACCGAGTGCAGCGCAATCCAGAGGGCAATAAACTTCTTGGATCCTGCACACTTGGCCACGTCAATCTGCATGTCGCCCGATGGAAGGTTGCGTGCGCAGTTGTCGTTCTGAAACACGAGCGTGTTGTCGCACCAGAGTTCGCACGGGCCTTCATGGGACGAGACAAACCCTTCACCGCCATTGCGCCACTGCACGACTCCATTCGCCGGCAACTTTTGCGCATCACCAAACTTTGTGATGCCACATTCGCCGCAGTTGTCGTTCTTGTCAAAGAACTGCTTTAGGCTCGTGTAGTCGACCTTAAACCGCGCCAGGAACGCCTTTGTGTTGTCTAGGGGGCTCAAGTTAAAGTTGTCGCTCGGGTACAGCTTGTTGCCGTTGACTACGCCGCAAAACTTGGACGGGTCGCCGTACGGGTCGAGGAATGTGACTTTGGGATTGATCAGCCACCCGTGGCCTTGGACCGATGGCATGAAGAGGGCGGCCGACACGACTGCAGCGGTCATTGAAAATGCTGGGGCGACCATGGCTGTGTGCGTCGAAGGGCTGCAGTTGGGAAGTGAGCTGGTCTTGTCGACCGACCGTCGAGTTCGCTCGACTTTGCCTGCATACTACTGCAAAGAAGATGGCCTCTGCCAGTAAACATTCCCCACATCCGCCTGATGTGGACTTGCCCGGCGTTTAAACGGAATGACCTAGTTTAACGCCTCGTCTTTCGACACATCACGTCGTGTCCGTGGAGATATAACGCGTTATTATTGCCTCTCCGAGTCGTTCAATGCGTTTTACTCCTCGTAGAGGAGATGCGGAACACTTGAAAGGGCACGAGGACTGGACATGTGAGGGGGAGGACTTGTTCAAGGGGGAATTGCATCGTCTGGGTGAATGTGGTGGCTCCGCGGCACTGCGTCTGTCTTCCGGAGGACGCCCAGGCCGTTTTCGTGCACAGTCGAATCGCCCACAAGTTCAGATGAGAGTCAATGACGTTTTCAGCGCGATGTGCGCGGGGTTGCGATGTCGCAAGCCAACTGGTCACATTGGCCCGCTGCTTCTCGTCGCTGGCGCCAACAAGCCCCACCTTTGTCTACCATTGCACAGGATGATATATACGCGCCGTGGCGAAGGATCCGGGAATGCTCGGGGATAGATCCGAACGAGTAGCTTTTCAATTTGAACAATTTGGGGATACCCGTGCAAGTTGTAATGGCGGAGGAAAGTAGGTGGAGCATGGACGAGCGAGATATTAGAGAGGTTTTGGTGCAATTCCAGTCCCCATCCAGTGGGGCGCCCCACCATATGGTGACAAAACCGGAGTCAACCTGTAAAATCTAGTTCTGGAACCTCCTAAATTGAATGGTTTGTCCACCCATTGAGTCAATTCTGTGGAATTTCGGTTTTGTCCATATATCTCACTCGGTCACCAACCATGTCGGCGCCACCGAAGCGCCGCAACTACACCGACGAAGAAGATCTCATGCTCCTTCGCCAGGTCTCCGCCGACATGCCGTTTCTCGCACGACGCGGCCTCATCATGGACAAGTGGGCAGCCGTCGCGGAAAAG